TCTGGCCCCAGGTTTCGAGTGGTCCACGCCAAAGCATCCCAGAAGCGGGAATCGTTCGGGTCGTGCTGGGCCTTGGTAGGGGGGAATTTCTCCTGAAGGTGTGACGGTATTTCAGAGAATGGGAATGCAGCCTCGAAGAAATAACCGGCCGTGAGACAGATATTCTCGTCGTCGTTACCTTCTGATGCTCCGAAATGATGACGTAGGCCGCGGGTGATCAGAGGAGTCCCATCTTGAAATTGTATAGAGTTTCCTAGACTAACCCATGAGCCGGGAAGCAAAGCGTCGACGCGCCAAGGTCCATGTTGCTCCCGCAATTCCGAACGCCACGGATTGAACACCGGGACGTCAGGCTTGTTCCAAGGACGCCAGGAGGGCACAGACGCGATGATGTCCCGCTTTTCACCACGGCCAAGGCGCTCGTGAGATTTGGCGAACACGAAAGGATCTTGATCCGCCTCTCCCATAGGATCGGGATCCAGAAACAGATTGACCTCGGTGTTGCCCTCCTTCTGGTACAGCGTGGAACAGGCTGTGCCACAATTGGCTAAAAGGAGATATTTGCCTTGAAGTTTTTCAGCCGTCGTACCCAGCCCTTGTCCGGCCACAGATATCTCCAGGCGCTCGGGGACTGTCTCATCGAGATAACCCGGGATGTTCAGCTTCGCCCGGAAGGAAGGTAGCTTCTTTCCCTTCCCCCTGAGAAGAAGATTACAATGCTTGTCTTCTGGCAAGAAAACGACCCACTGCTCGGCGCTCAATTCAGAACCCGAAAGCCCAGAGCAATCGGCTTTGATGATGGGAGTCGCTAGCACCTTACGCAGCCAGGAATTGGCGGGCAAGTTATCCACCGGTTTGGCATAGACCTCCCAGTACATCATGCGGTCGGTGGGAATCTTCAGCTCCGCCCAGGCGTTGGGAGCGTCATAGATGACTGACCATTCGCGGCCGCGGTGGTAATTTTTCCAGACGAAGTCGGAGTTCAATGCGACCGTGAGAGCCTGGCCGTACATCACGACATTGTTCGACAGCCCGGTGCTCTGGAAAACCGCATTCAGCCTCTTCTCACACGAGTCCATGGAAGTCTCCGCAACGATCCTGAAAATACGCGGAAAGTGCTGGCCGGACTCCTTCCAGAAGGACTCCGGAGGCGCTCTATCTGCGCGAAGAACCTTCTTCGCCGTGAGATGATGCTTCGGATAGCTCACGCATCCCGAACAGACGTTGTGTCCACAACTATCGCAGACCAGGATGTCGAACTTGGAGAGACCCTTCTGACCTTCGCAAGTGCAACGACGAAGTGTCTTCTCCGCACAGCTACGGATGGTTTGAGTGACTGCTTCGGTGTTCTGGCTGGTCACGTTGATCAGGTCGGGTTCAAGAGCGTTCTTGCCCCAGGTGGACAGCTTCTTGACTTCAGTCCCTGGCGCGCGAGCTGGCTCGATCGACTTCGTATCGAGTTTCCCGTGGGCGACGATGAGCGCGGAAAGAATTGCCGAGCCGACAACAGTCGTGCTCATGGCGTTACCGGCAAGATCCTTCAGCTGGCTGTCCGTCTCCGAGGTAAAGGTCACCTCATCAATGGGAATGCCTTGCAGGCTCAGCGTCTCCTGCCCAGTGAGGAGACCAATGCGATCAGTCAAGAAGCACATGCCTCGAGGCGTCAAGCATCCAGTGAGTCCCAACTGGGCGCGGTCGACGCGGTCGACGTTCTGGCTGATGTCGATGATGCGGGTCTTGTACGTGAAGTCAATGCCGTTGCGAGCATGCTTCCGGAACAAGATGTCGATCAGATCTGAATCACGCATTGGACGGTTCTTGAGCCAGGCCTTGTGCGCATGCTCGGGCATCTGCTGCAAGAATGGAGGTCCAGAATCGATGTTGAGGTCTTCGCGCGCGTTGGCATGGCGGTTGCGACAGGCTTCCCACGATAACTTCTTTGGCGCTGTGAACTGTTGAGCGTCCTTGATGTCAATTGCGCGAGGATCGTCATCCTGAAGAAGGAAGTCCGAGACAGGAGCACTAGCCCGACGCTTGAACCCGTCCATGACGCTTTCCCACTTGCGGCTGTATTCGGTGGCTTCTTCGAGGGTGAAGTGGTCCCGGATGTCCAGGCAGATCATGTATCTACGCTCACGCGTGTGCGGAATGTAGTACTCCTTGGTATCCGTCTTGACATCTTTGGCTACGTATCCCACGGACCAGAAATAGTCACGAAAGCTCTTCCAAGTCTCCGCTTTGGCCACTACATTTTCCAGAATAACGATGGCTGGGCGCGTGCGCTTGGAATACTCCAGGATGGCCATGAACGTATTCGTAGACTCGCCATTGCGCTCCCTCGGCATTGTGATCATGTTGGTGTTCAACTTCGAGAAGTCGACACACGATGAGCCGGCAATGAGGACGTCGATGTCGCCAGGAACTTCGAGGAAGGACCCATACGCGGTGGTGCCCTTAGGCTTTTCATCCTCCTCGCCTTTGACAAACTCCGTGATATCCCGGAACAGCAGCGGAGGCTTGAAGTTGCGCTGAATGTACGCCTGCTTGAATGCGTCGATCTCCGCGCTGAAGACGTGCTCGACCTTGAAGGGTTCCTTCTCCTTTTTCTCCAGAGCTAATTGAAAATCAGCATATAAGTCAAAATTAAACCGCACATTGTAACTTACACTTCTGGACCAGAGTGAGAGCAAGCAATGGGCTCTCAGTCCCACTGCACATGGTGGCGACCCGAAGAGGCCTGCCATTGAGGTGCCTCAGAACATCTTTGAATCCAAGATCAATCGCCTTATCGGTGAGCGCATCAAATATCTCATTGATGTCCGAGATTGGCGGGAGCTCCATATCCAGCCCCTTGACGCGACGGCGCGGAGTCTTGCGAGTGCGGCCAGCGGCGACGTCCGATTCTTCCTCAGAATCTTCCGAACCAGGCTCTTCCTCAGCCTCTTCAGTCTCAGACGGAACTTCCTTATCATAATCCTCGACAGTACCCGAAAGACCAGGCGGCCCATCGTCGACGTCCATCTGGTTGGCGTCATCTTCGGCGTCGGTGGCTTGAGCCTCGTCCCGACGAGCCTCCAGAACTGGAAAAGCTGTATAAGGCTCATAAGCATCTTCACCATGCTTGGAACGATTGATGGACATACGCCCAACCGACGTAGTAAGCTCGTCGTCGTTGTTGCGCGCGAGAGCTGTCTGATGTTAGCAAGGCTGAAATTCTTGGGCACGTGACCGACTGAGAACCGAGATGGGACCAGCAACAGTCGGACAAAAACACCGCACAGAACATCGTGCAGCGAGAAACTTTGCGACAAGAAACCAACTGCTGGATACATGCTGGACGGGGTGCACCCCCCGCCCGAATGGAAGGGGGCAAGATCGAGTGGGATGTGGGCAGAATGCTGCGACTTACAGCGAGTGGGAGTCCGCGGCGGCTGCGCGGAGCGAGCACGCTTCTGGTCGCCTTCTGGGCTTACAGACGATTTGTCCGCTGTAAGCTTCGCCTCACGCTTACGCTTCGACTCCATGATCGTGATGTTGCAACTTAATGTGTGGACTGAGACCGGAGTTAGCAATGATCGGAGACACTTTTCTACTTAAGGAGCCTAATGCTGTTTGCTTCTTTCCGTTGATACCAACAGCTTTAACCCATTGAGCAAGAGGTAAAACAAACCATTGATGTATCGAACCCCAAATGGGGAAACTTACCTTGTGGATGTTCCGTAAGGAACCGAGAGATTAACGTGGAATGGAGAAGGTAGGCTTATTTTCGTCTTAGAACCGAAGGTTCGACCAATCAATGCCAAAACCACAGCTAGCTCGAGCAGAAGAATTAGGAGTGCGATAGGAAGTGGGGGGTAGTTCGAGAAGTTAAAACTTAAGGTCGAAAGATTTGAAATTAAGAGATCGATATCTTCGAAACGGAAAACTCTCTTCGATGAACGCGATGTCGAAGTAATCGTCGAAGTAAGCGTTGAAGCCCGAGGTCTAGGGGTTTTTTCATTCACTCTAGGTCGTCACGGGGCTCTACAATTGTCTACTTGACATCGGCGCCCGAAAGCCGACGACATCGATAAAAGCTTCGTTAACGGAGAAACCCTTTAACCGCTTCGAAAATACTAGCCCGAGCAGTTTCTTAAGCATCTTTAAGGTAGAAGAGCTAGAGGTAACTGCTCTACGCATATCAGACTAGGGTAGACAGCTTACTCTATAGCGATGGGATGAAAAGGCTTCTAATCCTATAAGTTATACGAACTCGAACTTCTCTTCTTCTTCCTTATTCCCCCTTACTTCGCCTTCCGTCTCGCTTAAGTAGAGACAATTCCATGCAAAGGAAGCAAGGGGTAAGCCTTATAGGATAATTTGAAGAGTCTAAAAGCCCCTCTTAACCTTCTCAGCATCGAACGCAGTCTTTGAATGATACCGTATTCCCAATCCGTAGCCAACATTCCGCATCGTATTCCGCTTGTCCTGCCCGAAATGCAAACGAAGAATCAAGTCCGCACATCTCCAACCGTTTCAAAAGCCCACTGCCAGCACCAATCCACCATATCTCTCGTATTGCGCTTGAATTGCACCAGTTCAGTCCGCGGTAGTCGCCGAGAGGAACCCCTAACCCACGCCCCGGGACGATCCGGTAAGCGAACCCTAGCCGAGCCCAAGGCAAGCGGCTCACGCCCCACTCCGCGCGGCGAGAAGATACGGAGAATATTTGACGGAAGCACGCATCGCATCGGTGCATTGAAGGCATTGGATACGGGCACTGCGTTCGACGGCATGGAGTAAGAGCGGTGATGATGCGCTATCTGGCGGCAGGAGTTACTGTAGGATGAAGAAACGCTGAAGACGGAAGATTGCAGTTTCGTACGCCCGAGACGCCAGGACATTACATGAGAGACAAAGTTCAACGACCAATATGTTATCAAACCGGCCGGGCATTACGCATTGGGCAAAAGGCTGCTCCACGTCGTCTGGAACGGCAAAAAGAAATATCAACTGGATATTGCGTCGGCCGGGAATCGAACCCGGGGCCCGTCGAATCGTCCCCGAATGACTTCGGATGGCAACGACGGATTTTACCACTAAACCACCAACGCGCTTTGATGCAAGCTGGACCTTAAACAAAAGTCTTCTAGCGGAAAGTACTAACTGCGGCGCTAAAGGGGTGTTCTGAGCCATGCTGAAGCCTAGTCCTAGATCCGGAGGGAAAAGGCAACAGAGGAATCGTAGAGAAGGAAGTAAAATGGGCTATCAGTGGGAGGACGTTTGCCAAACATGATCAAGAGTCAAAGAACAACGGCGAAAGGGAGTTATATGAAAGTATATTCTCATGAGTCTAGGCACCCCTGTTACAATCCTAAGCAAACCGTCAAACGAGGCCCCAAAGACGATGGTCATGGTATCACATTCTCAGACGTTGGCTAGCAAACCGGGTGGCCGTTTGGCATGTCGAATTTGTTCATCAAAGGGACCAGAATAGCGATACATCATAAGTGATAATGGAACGTCCATTTCAGCTTTCAACAGGCCACTCAAATTGCTTCCTAGTGGAATCAGCAAAAAGACTTCCTTGATACCCGATATCTGCGACTGGCTGTACAATGGAGTACGCTCCAAAAACTGTGCCTCCCGAGGGTATATCGAAGGCGGTGACCGCCTACCTTAACAAAATCATCCAGAACGGGGGCGCTCCGCTGGAGTCGACTATGATGACTAGGGGTCACCATCGTCGTACTTAACTCCATTATTCAGAGGAAGACTCTTAGAACGGAGTTGATGTGACAGCCTGAAACCCAGCGGCCAGGTCAACAAGGCCTTCACGAGGCTGCGCAAAGTTAGTGTTGTGACACGGAAGCAGTAACGCGAAGACATGGTCATAACTACCGGAGAGAACTGCCTCAGCTTAACCCCAGCTTCTTGAAAGATAGCAGCAGCCTGGAGGTGTTAGTCAGGCCGATAATTACACTCGTCCAAGCTTACCGCCGAGTCCACATTGTAGCCGACGCTGTACACCACCTCGCTGATGCCGACTTGAGCGATCTTGACGCTGCAAGTCAGACAAGGACAGCTAAAATAGTCAGCCCAGTCCCTCTGGCAGAGGAAACGATCCTCACGTGTCGCAATAGAGAATCGACCCATCCCGAATACGATCCCGACCCGCCTCAAGGAGCGCATTCTCCTCCGCATGTAGGCAGAGACATGTATCCAAGCCGACACCTACACCGCTGGCGTCGTTGCACCTAGGGCCTGAGTTATCAGCAAACACTCAACAAGGCCCGCGCGAAACCCACATCCGCCATCGTTGCAGTTCCTCATCCCGCGCGGTGTCCCATTGTAGCCTGTACTTATGACCCGCTTTTCGCGCACCAGTACACAGCCCACCCGCCGCTTCATGCAGTTGCTCCGCTGAGCTGCCAGATGCGCAAGCTGCATAAAGTATTGGTCCCAGCTGGGGCGCAAGCGGCTTTCATTGGGGAGATCCAGCTTTGCGAGCGCCTCGTGTAGTTGGGAAAGGGAGCTGGTGGAGTTCAAGAGGCGCAGCTGGGCGCGGCCGAGGAGCGGTGCGAGGCCAGAGACGGGGGTGTAGTGCTCGTTGTCGTTATAGAGGAGGAATGAGTCTAGCATGGGCATTGGACAACGGCGAGCGCTGCAGCTGCGGGGGTTAGTGATGTTGAGCATCCATGTGGTTTCTGATACCGTGCTAGCAACCGATTCCATCGAACACTACCGGGAGCATCGACGCTTATGAACAGGAAAAAGGGCCTTTTTAGAAGTATATCAAGCACAGACTCGTCCCAGACTGAGGATGTCACCCAGCGGCCCCGCCAGTTCTCGGTTACAAAGTCTAGCAAGGACTGCGCATCGCGGAAACGGAAGGTCGCATCCGGCGGGGTGTCTCTAGACTCCAAGAGCTCTGCAAGTCGCGGCGGATAATCGGAAGGGAGCTCAATCGAGAGGAGCTGGAAGCCGTGCTCTTTGACCAGGTACTCGACGACCGATGTTTTGCCAGCGCAGATACCTGACACAGCATGAGCACATAGCCTTGGTAATCGGAGGGAGAGAAGTACTGCCGCAAACGCCGATCAGCATCTTGTGAGAGATATGGTACCCGTCAGCAGTATGAGATAACGCTCCGTTTCCCCGTCTGCTGGTGGGGGGATGATGGCTTCGCGCGCGTTACGCCCCTGGCGGATGACGAACGGCGCGCGGGACGCAGATCGGCCAGGTGCTTGGCGTCCCACCAACCCCGCCTGATCGTTGACTGGGGTGGGGGAACGTCACCAGGCAGCTGAGGGAGGTTGGGAAGTAGAGCTTTAACTCATCCCACTTGCGACAAATACCCGTCATCACAACCTTCGGCGTATCAGTACTGTATAGGCTCATCGAAAAAGCCATATCCATCTTCTTCCAGAGTTCCGACTATGGCGAGCCTCCAGTTCGCGCCCTGGTCCTCGGACATTGAGCTCGCTTTCTACGCCGCTCTCGCCTCGCTCAAGATCAACCATGATAAGCTCGACGATTCGGCACGAAAGGTGCTCGGGCTGTACGAAGTGCGTCCTGGCGAGCGGGCGGAGCGCTCCGGGCGCATGCAGATTACGGGGAATGCGCTGACGACGGATGAGTGAGTGGTGTCTAGAGAGGAGATGGGATGGCAGGCTGACGGTCGCAGAATCCCCAGCGGCTTCTATCGTGCAGAGGGCTGGATAAAGAACTTCAATACGATCGAGGAGTACAAGAACGCGTCTCGGCCACAGATTATTGAGCTGGCGAGCCGGACGGTATCTATTACTTCTCCATTTGTCTGAGTCCCCGCTGACAGAGCAGGTCTGGGACGCCGTCAACGACGAGACGATATACTCGTGCCCTTCACTCCTGTGCTCCTTCTATGTCATATCCTTCGCAAATCTTAAAAAATACAGGTTCTCTTACCACTTCGCCTTTCCAGCCTTGCATTCGGATCCGCCGTGGAAGCTGGCAGGAGCGTCAGAGCGCTTCAGCTCACCGGAGACGGTACAACTTGTTGAATCGGTCCAAACATGGAGGTACAGCGTCGATGGCCGGCAGCACGGCTTCTTCCTCGCAAAGCGCGTTTACCCGAGCAAGCCCGCAGAGGGCGAGACCTCCACGCCGCAAACACCGCAAACACCGCAGCCCGAAGACGGCCTCGGCTTCAAGTGGGCCATCGGCTCGCTGTCTGCCTTTAAGACAGGCTTCTTCAACGACGTAGCGCCCAAGGACCGGTACGTCGCCTTTGCTGATCCCTCAAACTATCCCACGAACCCTGGTTGGATGTTGCGCAACCTCCTGGTACTAGTCCGGCAGCTGTGGAAGCTTCACGACGTGCAGATCCTTTGTTACCGCGACACGCACCAGCGCCGCGATCAGCCCAACAGCCTCGTGCTGCACCTTCAATCACCCCCAATCGACCCGCTGCCCGAAATGCCCAAAGTGACGGGCTGGGAGCGCAATGAGGTGGGCAAGCTGGCCACCACGACCGTCGACCTCGCCGAGTACATGGATCCGACACGGCTAGCAGACCAGGCCGTCGACTTGAATCTCAAGCTCATCAAGTGGCGCTTAGTGCCAGACATCGACCTCGACGTGATAAAGAACACAAAGTGCCTACTCCTCGGCGCAGGCACGCTGGGCAGCTACGTAGCACGCAATCTGATGGGGTGGGGCGTGCGCAAGATCTCCTTCGTCGACAACGGGACCGTATCATTCAGCAACCCAGTGCGCCAGCCGCTCTTCGACTTCAAGGATTGCCTCGGCGGCGGCGTGCAAAAGGCCCACCGCGCAGCCGACATGCTGCAGGAGATCTACCCTGGTGTCGACTCGGCCGGGTACGTGATGTCGGTCCCGATGGCTGGACACCCTATCACCGACGAGCCCAAGGTTAAGGGCGAATTTGAGCTCCTCAAGCAGCTGATCGATGAACACGACGTGGTCTTCCTGCTGCTCGACACGCGCGAGAGCCGCTGGCTGCCTACCGTCATGGCCAAGGCGGCGGGAAAGCTGGTCATGAACGCCGCGCTCGGCTTTGATACTTATGTCGTCATGCGACAGGGACTGAAGCCTGAGAAGGAGGGGGATGTGGAGATGGGGTGCTACTTCTGCAACGACGTGGTCGCGCCTGCCGATGTGAGTTGCCCCCATGTTTCGTAATGCCGATATCGGCGCTGACGTATGCGTGCAGTCCCTCACCGACGCCACCCTCGACCAGCAGTGCACAGTCACCCGCCCGGGCGCCGCACCCATCGCCTCTGCCCTGCTCGTCGAGCTCCTCGTCAGCGTGCTGCAGCACCCGAAGAAGGGACGCGCACCAGCGACAACGAGCGCCCCGCGCGGCGACCGCGGCCCAGGCGAGCCTGGCATGTTCAAACACCCGCTCGGCGCCGTGCCGCACACGATCCGCGGCTACCTGGGCGAGTTCAACAACATGTGCGTCACGGGACAGCCGTACGACTGCTGCAGCGCGTGCAGCGATACTATCGTGGGCCGGTACCAGGCTGAGGGGTGGGAGTTTGTTAAAAGGGCGATCAACGAGAAGGGCTGGGTGGAGGATATTAGTGGGTTGGCGGAGGTGCAACGAAGGGCGGAGGAGGTGGATGGGGAGGTCGATTGGGAGGAGGAGGAGGAGGGTGATGGCGAGTTGCTTTAGTGGGTGGGAGGGGGAGGGGTGCTTTGGGGGTTTTTGGGGAGGCAAGAGCTTTACGCTCCACGGCACGTGCAGAAGGTTGAACATCATTCTCTTATCAGCGAGCCTCGACGCGCACCAGCACAGCGGGCCGAGTGTGCGTCTCGAATAAGCCGAACTCGGATACACTCCGTACGATCACTTCATCCGACACAACGCTCACCTCGATTGCACGCTTCTTCGGCTGCTTCCGCCCTGCGAACGGGTCGTCATCTTGCAAGAGTGTGGTCGCCCGGTTTGAGAGCGAGCTGAAGAGACCGCGCTTGGCCTTGGGGCGCGGAGGCAGGGTCGTCGGAGCGGTGGGAGCGGGGGTGTGTGCGGTGCCGGAGGAACCGTAGGCGTTTTCAAGAACGGCGCGCAGATCCGAGGCGAGACTGTCGATTGCGCTGGGTTGCTGCC